AATGGAAATAGTGGGAATAATGTATCTTGTATAACCTCTAGGAACACGGTTTATATCGACTTAGGTAGCAATGATACATTTATTATAACTAGTTTGCGAATTTTTATTCATTTGTATAAAATTTAAAGCTGTGCGAATTACATATCTATAATATATAAAATATACAAAGTAAAGTATTCGATATAATTTTTAATAGTTAAAGCAAATTTCTATCTAAATTTTGTTTCTTCAGTTGTGTTTATAAAATTCTAAATTTGCATAAAAACCTGCAGCTTAATTATAACTTTGATAACCTACTTATACATATAAATAAAGAGGCGGGCAGAATTTACGCTGCAACAAAATGTTTCTGATTCTAGTATGAGTGATAGGTTTTAATAATTGTTACTGACGTGATAATATAGTAATAATAGAAGAAAATATGACAATAATAAATATTTAATATAATGATATTAATAATAGAAATAATATTTAAAAGGACAGATTTATATATATAAATACTATTGTACTATTATTACTATTATAAACTATTGTAACGAATGTACTAAATAATGTAATTTTCAAGTTATGTCATGTTATAGGGAGTTAAAGTAAGCAAGTAAATGAAAATAAATAAATTTTAGGTATATATTTCGTGGTTAGAAATAAAAAACAATTCGAGTAAATAAAAGGGATTTTCGAAGAGCTTTGGGCATTCAATTTTTGTAAATAAAAATAAGAATACGAAGAAGAAAAGTAACGAGAAGAATGAAAATGAGAGGAATAAAAAGTTGCGGGAATAAGAATGGAGAGTGAAGAACATGTGTCTTACATTATCCGGCAATGTTTTTCAAGACTATTCGTAAACTTATATATTACTGGTAGTAAATTTTTGCACCCTTTCCACGACGCATATTTGACGAAGCTCCAAGAATACACCTTAACAAATCGTACAATCTTCGATTCTATATTTAAAGTCATGATAGAGTTTCGATAAAAACACACTCTTTACATATGTTTCCTAAATATAAGCATAGACAATATATAACTGTAACATTTTTCATATATATACAATACATACCCTGTCCCACGATCGTATATGTACACACGGCAGTCTGACAACTTCCGTAGTGGGGGTAACGGAGACTCTTACATGCACATGCGACATTTTACTATATGATCTCGCTGTGACCATATTTCTTTCTTTGTTTTCTTATTAAGAACAATAAAGACAGCTATATGGTCATAGCGAGATCCCGCGGTAAAATATCGCTTATGTGCATTTAGCCTTAATGTCGTGATCATGATCGTAAGATGCACTTTGCAAATCGGCAACTAGCCATAGCGTTTAAACTTTTACATTTAACGCCATTCTTCGGTGAAAGCAATAAAGCAGTAAAGAATATAAATGAAACTGAAGTAAAGTACTTTTCATAATTTTTCAGAATATATTTAAAGTAACTATAGAATATTTCGTGTGACACAGAAAATGTTGTGTACGGTCGTGCTACAGATTGAAGACACGAGGTCGCGCTGTACGACAAAGCTTCACAAATCGATTGAAGCATTTTACTGCGAACAAATTGAGAAACATTTCCTGATCTGTCTTATGCCTATAAGACTTAGCCTCAGCCACGGCCATATATACAGATGGGAAAATGTTTCTTAATTTGTCCGCAATACGGCGCTTCAATTGACAAGTTAGGATTCGTTGCATAACGCCATCGTGTAAAAGTAGTCAGAACCTTTCTTCTCTGCCTTTGGCGTGGAAAGAAAAAGCGATAATGATAATAGATACCAATTTCTGTCTTACATATACGATTATTGTAATTATACTTTTATTATTTTATATCTAACTTATGTCTGATAAATGTTATATAATATAAATATTTTTTTCATTATTAAAAACCTTTGTAAAGTCTAAAATTACACTATAATTTTGCTTTTACAATAAAAATAATATTGAAGTTAATAATATTGAAATGTTTCAATCATGTATACTTTGGAAGTGGCATTTACATGTATTACAGATAGAGCTAATAGTTACACAATTTTTTAACGAATTTAAGAAAATTAAAAACAAATTTACTTTCCAATATACACGTCAAATTTAAACATATTAAATATATGTATGCATATTTGATTTGGAAGTTGTGATTTTGTTAAACTTTTCGTTGAAAATAATACATATTTAATAATAGTTCGTAATTAATTCATTTAAAGTACAGTTTTCTGTATATATATATTTGTCTTAAATTAATGATAAAGAATTGTGAAAAGTTATTTAGTTCAGTCATTGAGTAAGCTTAGTGGTTTAATTTATATTTTTTACCTTCGATGCTTTCACCAAAGGATGGCGCTAAATACAAAATGCTAACTTCTCGACTGTAGCACTCTATGACGGCCGATCTGTAAAACACAATTCCCGACATTAAGAGCTCCCTCCACCGGAGTTTCCACATCTGTTTATACAACCGTATAGTATCCTATATCTCATTCATTATTTCATAATTATATATAGTTCAAATTTCTTGCACTTAATGTTGTAGTATCGTATGTGCTTGTAGTATGTACTATTCTATGGTAAATCGGTAATATTAAAAATGATATTAAAATTGAACATGAAATAAAAAATGCAGAGAAGAAAATCAACTGCATGTTAACAAATATCGATAAAAATGAACTTAAACTAGCGTCGATAACATAGAAAGAATAGTGGTTCCATCACTTAAGAAACATTATCAAAATGTCGTAGGTATCATCTTTACCAACTGCCAGATACTACTTACCGACCATTACAACTTTATGTATGTGTTTAATTGGTAAGAGAAAAAGCAAAATCATTAACGAACAATTTATGTATCAAATTGGTAACTTTTCATTTATGAGTTTGTCGCGTATCTCATTCATTTGACTAGATACATAAGCAGAAAGGATAACCTTGTCCTATTTCTCCAATATGATAAAGCACCTATGAGAAGAACGTTACTTCTTTTCTATACGATTCTATTGAATTTCCCTCTCTCTTATGTTCCAAGCTTTCATTGTGACCTAGATTCTTCTCGCGTTTCGTCGGACGATATATACAAATGCTTTACATATGTATAATGAGTTAGAGTAGAGGGAAAGACAAAAAAAATAAACGACTTGCGAACATTTTGTTTATGTTCCGTTAGTTATCCAGCAACCTTGTGCGAAAACCATAGCCTAAGGACACCATAGACGCGTAACGCGATGCAGATATTGGATATCGTCGTCTTGCAAACATGAGCTTCTTATCTCGCATGGAATGCGTGATAATGAAAATTTACCGCTGCGAGAAGCTTGTATCAGGGAGAACGAGAAAGAAGTGAAAAAAATATTTGTATATCGTTGTTTTACACTAATCGTCTTCAACTAAATACAACTTAAATTAATAATTAAAGCATACGAGAGCTAAGAAGTCAATACGCTTTGAACTCAGTCTTTAGATATATGAGATGTTCCATTTAACTTGCACGGTTGAATGTTGTTTTATTATCTAAAATCATATCAACTTTCTAGGACTATTATCAGCGACTACTTTTTTTTTATTAAAATAATGCACATGTCATGTTTATTTTATGACTCTGAGGTGTCGTTTTTCAGACAATTATCATGTTATTCGCGTATAAATTTCTAATACTAATTTCTAATAAAAGCATAGAGCCTATTAACGTAGTTGAATATAAAAAGAAAAGATATAAGAGAAGTTGATCTTGGAAAGCATCAGCATAGTTAAAACATTTCTATTAATGCGATTGAATAGGATAGATAATTATTACTATTATTTTCATTATTATATTTAATAGTAATTAATTGATTCAAATTAATTGAGTTTCGAGCTCACTAATATTTTTTAATGAAACTTTATATATTTTAATATGCCCTCAATATGCTCGTACATTTGATTCTCTAAATAATGGAAAGATATTAATATCTACTGAGAAACGTTTCTTTTATCTTTGTATCAATAGACTATAATCTACAGAAAAGCAAAAGCGTACAAAATCTTTATATCGAAATTTCTATTCGCTTTCAGTTTATTAGAAAACACTATGAATGTTGGCAATTTAATTTAACACATTTTCTTAATGTGATAAATACATGAACTTCTCGGCCTTCAATCGCCAAAATAAGAATAATTTTATGGGTGTTATCTATGTACGTAATATTAATTCATGCGCTAAGGCTTCATCCGCTTTCACCTTCCGACAAAATATTATCCGACATTCTTCTTTAAAGCCATCATAAATTACACATATTGTATAATAATAATCGTCTTGTTCACCATTATCTATTTATTTACCTATTTATATTATTTATTTACTATCTTATATACTATAAAAATATTTAAAAAGTAATAAAAAAATGATCTCGAAATATAAAAAAAAAACAATCTAAAGTGAAAATTTTCGATCGTGGTCTTTTCTACCAAATATATAAAATATTGTTTATTCAGTTTCATATTTTTGTGGCCATAATTAAAGAAATAGGAGCCACACAGGAATTTGTTTTATCCAATAAATACGTATTTATTATAATTATTAGAATTTAGAGTTATGGATGTTCATATAAATTCAAATTGTAATTAACTGAAGGCTAATCAAAAGAATAGAACTTAAACAGAGCTGTGTCTTTCATCTACTAATAAACATAATATACCATGCTTTGGATATTTACATTCACATTACATTTTACACATTTTTACACTTTTAAATATCTCGTCAATCCATAAACATCCGCAGTCTAAGTATTACAGTGAATATTTTGGGTATTTTTTTTAATTTTCTATATCTCTGCATATTGTATGGATGCTCTACATTCTTACATCCACAAGTCTATGTGAATGGAACATATCGCAACTATTGCAAGTTTATGTGGAACACCCTATATGTTACTTATCCCCAATAAAGATCTTGGCAGATAGAAATAGATTACGAAAATCAACATTGATGAACCAGCATCGAGTTATAAAAACTTAGATTAGAGTTAACACTCACCCCTCTCGCGTCTCGGAAGAGGATGGCGGCGTGCACAGGATCTAGACAAGCATCGGAAGCTCTATGAGGAATCGCGGGTGTACCCAAAGAGAATCGTCTGGCACCAGGATCCAAAGAGCTCCGTCTAAGTGCGCCTGAAATTTTCAATTCATATTTTATCGTTGGTTTAATATAATGCGAAAATTATAATTAAAAAACCGAGTGTCTGATATAAAATTATAAATGATAATAGAAATTTAAACTGCACGAAAAAAAAGAAGAAAAGACGTTATTGGATTATAATTTCTATTTCTATTTCTTAATTTTAGTTAATTTAATTGTAATAATTTTTCTATTAAATCAAATTTTAAATTAAAGTGAATGTTACGTATTAACGTTATATGTAATAATTAATATATGTATATCAATCTATTAATTGAAGCGTTATAGAATAAAATATTAACGAAGAAGAACCAATTTAAATTAAGAGAATATTGGTCCATGTAGATGTAGATATGATATAATTTATTTATAACAAAAATGAACCGACATGCTTAAAAATAGGAGGTTAAAAGATCACGATATTATTATTTCGAGTGACGAGCTAACTGGTTTTATAACATTAATATTCTTCTCTTCTTCTTCTTCTTCTTCTGTGTTTTACGTCACATGGTTCATTAAAAAAAGGCAAAATCAATCGTGGTTTACCTCGAGCCGTTAGAAATAACGGGGGGCATGTATGTATTAGGTTTTCCGGAAAGTTCGTTCCGATTTTCAAGGAAAATTCAAATGCAGCACATTTAAATTTCGGTATACGATTGAATTACATAGGTGCCATTTTGTTCCACAACATTTCTCTATCTTTCACGCAAATTGAATATTTCATCCTTTCAGAACTTCTCAGGTTTTTCGACGAAAAAATTTTCAATATAATTTTTTATATCGACAAAAGAGTTCAAGCTTTTACCATTAAAGGAATTTTGTAATGATCTGAAAGGTGAACATCTGAGGGCGCAATGTCTGGTGAATACGGTGAGTGGGGTAGCACATCCCAAACAAGTTCCAACGGCTTTTGTCGAGTAGACAATGGCACATGAGGCCGTGTATTGTCCTGATGGAACACGACGCTCTTCCGATTCGCTAGTTGCCTGGACGTTTTTGTTCAACTGCTATTTTTAATTCGCCTAATTGCGAGCAATACTTTTGCGAATTTATCGTCTGGTTGTTTAGTAGAAACACCAGACACAGGGTATAGCTTTTTTTGGACGAAGACCGCCTTTTGGGGTGGCTAAAGGTGATTCGTTCCGCTTTCCTCAAGATTTTTTCCACTCAACATTATTATAAATAATCCATTTTTCATCGCCCATCACTACTTACTTCGAAAATGGTGTCCCTTCGCTGCGTTTATAGAGCGAGTTGCAAATGGAAATACGATCATTCAGATTTTTTCCGTTAAATCGTGGGGAACTCATACATTAAAACGGTTTATATAGTCAAGCTTCGCAAAATGCTCGTGGATGGTGGATTTTGATATTTTTAATATTTCTGTTAATTCACGTGTCGTATAGCGTGAGTTATTCTCGATCAGAGTTTTGATCTAATCTTCATCAGTATGGGGGGCCTACCCGGGAGTTCTTTATCTTCAAGAATCATCAGCTTTAAACCTAGCAAATCACCTCTGCACAATTCTTTCAGCTATAACGCCTTCAGCATAAACAGCGCGTATCTTATTTGTTGCATGTGCGGCATTTTTGCCCTTCCGGTGGAAGAAAGGCATCAAATGCCTATAATGCACTTTGTTTCCTTCCATATTTAAGAGCGTATGAAAGTAACAAAAATTAATGTCTGCTAGCCAAATTTCTTTCTAAAGATGTTTGAAAGATCACCTTTTAGAATATGTACACATGTCATTTGTTTTCGATCATTCTGATATATTCAAACCTGTCCTAATGTCACCTACCGAAAATCGGCACGAATTTTCCGGGCAACATCTCATACGGTTCTTTCTCCATTACATTTACATTGTTAATCTTTGCATTTCATCAGTTTATATCTTCGATATTTTTTACAGCACAAAAAGGAACAAGAAAAATACTAACAGCAAAATTGTTTATTTCTACATAAAAGATACTGTAATTATAAATTTCGAATCACAAAATTATTTTTTAGTTTCCAAGATCACTGATAATTTTGTTATGCTGCTTTTTAATAGATTAGTTGTAAAGATATAAGAACATGATAACAAAGATAGGCACGAATATCATTCTCAAATACACATATTATCACTTCATATCGACGAGATCAGAAATTTAAAAAGTACAAACTCGAATACTAAAATTGTCTTTTTACAACGCTCTTTACATAATACTTATTTTATACTGCTGCAAATAACAAAGATACGGAGGCAGAAAAGACAAATGAAACATCTTGAACGTATGTTAATGTATCCAGAAACGAAGGTCGCTCGGTAGTTTCGCAAGATGTGTCAGAATCAAAGAATAATTTGTCATTCGATGAAAGTTGATGCCTTGCATGTTAAGAGTTATCATTTATATTTCTACCTTATGCATTTTCCATCGTATTGTATATGTAAGCGCCATAGTCGGTAAATATTTCTTTCCTATTTACCAGTGAAATATAAAACTACTCTAATGAATCCAAGTCGGTAACAAGAATATCATATTCCATCTAATAAATCATATTCTATTTAATCAACAAAATTAAGAAATATACCATACATTACAATATTGTTTAAATTGTACCAAAACACTTTTAACGTTTAATATACAGGGTGGTTGGTAATTGGTGGTACAAGCGGCAAGGGGGTGATTCTACGTGAAAAAAGAAGTCGAAAATATAGAATAAAAATCTTTTTTTTAATTCTTTTTTTTTTTTAATTTTTCCATCGAGACAACGATCTACAGTGAGATTCGTTATAACGTACCGAGCGAAAATTCAAAGTCGATTTTCTTGAAAACAAAGCCTCAAACGAAAAATTTTTATTCTATATTTTTAACTTCTTTTTTCACGTAGAATCACCCCCTTTTCGCCTGTACCACCAGTTACCAACCACCCTGTATAATCTGTTAACCTAACCATTTCTTAATCAGAAATTTGTATAATTATCGAATTGAAAGTCAATAAACACAACTTACTTTTATCGAAAAAAATTATATAAAACATACAAAGTGAAATACTTTTAATATGGCCGATTAGAAAATTGTAGATGCATAAATATCAAAATTATGTCCAAGAAATTGAGAACTTTATGTAACAACGAGTTTACTCGTCTTTCCCAGCTAACAAACTGATATACAAATATGTATATGCGAACACGATACACATTAACAGACATCTATTTTATTATTAGGAAATATTTGCTCATCGTATACAGTAATACATAGACATTAAGCAGATTCTGTGCGTAGCGCGTCAACAAGTTTCCTGTAAAACTTCAGGTTTAAATTATGAAATTTTGTGGATAAAAAACTTCTTGGAAGACTTTATATTTGAATTATGTTGCGATACTTGCAATACGATACTCATCGTTCCTTTTACGCGCCATTACAGTGGTGCGTCATTGGATATGTAAATTCGGCCTATCATGACCCATACGCGAATCACCGAAAATAAAACTTGTTAAATTTCTTCTTTCTGATAAATTTTATGCTCACGGATTGGCCATACTGGTTGACCAACACTGGTTGGCCTTAACGAATTATAATTTAACACGATTTATGAGCAGACGTGTACAATGTACATCTGCTATATTCTATGGGAATACATAAAATCCCATGCCACTCTTTATTTACATTTCAATTGTGTTCGCATTGAACTCGCTCATGAAGTTCATCTCTGTGACTCATTCTACATTTTTCTATCATTTTTTTTTAAATTTCTATGATTATAGAATTACATGTTACAGTCGAATCTCGGTAATTCGAACCTCAAAGGAAGAGCTGAAGTCCTTGAATTATAGACTTATCGAAAGTTTCCAAGTAAAAGAGATTTAACAAACAAAGATTCGACATACTGAAATTTTTTTACGAACGCACAATTACATTCATCTTTTCAGAAAGTGTTAGTATTTTAGAGTTAACACTTTCTTTTGGAATTCGTCGTATTCAACGCACATAAATAAAAAGTTAAAGACGCGGGAGATGATAGCAAGTATACGACTGACGAAAAAAAGATTAGTTTCACGGATTTACACGTAGTTGCAGAGCGACGAAGTAGGGGTACGTCTTATGTTATCCGTTCTACATTATTTCAGACAATCCTAAAAATAGGAGGAAAGGAGACAATATCGAATAACTGACTTCTTACATCTTACAACACATAGCGTAACTATGATTACACTTCGAGTTGCAATAGAAATTCAACTTTTAAAGATAAACACTTTGACTAGTAGAGGCCTGACTGTTCTAAGTTCGAGTTACCGAGATAAAATAATGCATCTGCGATTTTATTTCGACGTCTAAAAGTTCTCGCAACGGAGCGAAAGGGGATCGAGATTGTAGTCCTATAGAGGTTCGAGTTATCCAGATTCAACTGTAATAAAGATAAATCAATTTCAGAAAGGTAGATCGTAGTCTTACAAATTAAAAATATAAGTATCGTGTAATTTACATAAGTACATACGTACATGTGTATAATTTCAAATATGAAGATGTAATTTATATGTACGTTATAATACGACGATAAAGATGTGATTTGCTTGCAACCGGAGAGATTCATTGTATTAAAATAATAAGAGATCTATTATTGTATCGAGATAGAAGATAAGAGACCGTTGTATACAAAGATGATTGAAAATTCGAATGATTGTGGAAATTCGAGTTGTTTGGTTTCGTTCCTTAATTGTTAATAGGTTTATATTTTTCTTAAAAGTAATATTAACCCTTGGAAGATATCATTAAAGGAAATCACGTTAATTATCATGGGTGAAATATTTATTTTAAAAATCAATGAGGTCAAACACAAATGCAATTTTTCTTATCATTATATTCAACATTAAAGGACAAATAAATATCAGTATTATTACAGGTCAACGTTAGAATAAAATTCGCATGACGTGACATTTCATCCATGATAGTCTTTAAAAGTTCATCTAATTATGAATTATCATATTTTGACAAATGTGAAACAAAATTAT